AATATTGAACTGTGCAATCATTACCGTCGAAAATTCTCATAATGATGTTGTTAACAATGACGTTGTGTCGAAAGCGGCCATATTCCTAAATATTTTATTAGACATTTTCTTGGCTAAGAAATAACGATGACGACGTTGCATATAACGCGAGCATAATTATTGATAACAACTGTAAATATATAATATTGTATATGTGATTGTAACTATGTATATATCGTCATCCTCATTAAAATACGATTGCAAAATTACGTACACAAGTGTTAAGAATTTTATGTCACTTTCATCGTGCTCCTAAAGTCTAACGGTTTTTTTCAAATGTCTAGAACCAACTTATCCCCATTAAACATTACCAAATTTACCCGACAACATATCTTTACGTAACACAACCGAATTCAAAGTTCAATCCAAAGAACATTACACCGGATAAATCCATCAAATTTCAAATATTCGAGAAAAATCCGATCTCCAAATTCAAATTGCAGCATACACGGCGAATAGCAGCGACGTTCCAAAAACAATTTACCCGTGTATCGTTAATTCATAAAAACCAACAGATTCGCAAGAAATATCAGAAACTTACAATCATCTCAGAACCAATCAATCATCCGTCATCCGCAATCGAAGGAAAACCGAAAAAAAAGAAGAAAATAACTGGAGCAAAAAATTGAAACGAATTAGCCGGATGCGCCTAACGAAATGCCCTGAGTTCCCGCGACGTCCACTGGAACTACACAGCGTTTGAATCGCGAGAGTGGGACAGAGACGGACGACCAAGAAATGAAAATGGCGTCGCGTGCACGGTGCCGATAATTTTTCGTTACGTTCGTGCGTTCGTTATTATTTTTCGTGTGTAACAGGACTAAAATGCGAGCGGTGCCCGGCGTGCGATCGTGTAACATCCAACGAAATATCGCGTGAAAATCAACGGGGTAGCGTCGTTGGCGTGCATTCGGTAACCGCGACGTATACACGACGGTCGTGGAACGAGCAACGGGGAAAAAGAAGGTGTACACACACTGTTTTGCGTATGGCTTTTAAATCGTACGTACAGCATCGTTTCGCCGCGAACCGTGTATCCAGTGTGAGGGCCTGCCGTTGGCATGACGAGGGAAAACGCGTTTTATTTGGTTCTCGTGCATCGTGAAACCACGGACGAGCTATGTGCCCTGGCCAGTGCAGCGGGTGAAATCTAGTTTTCATTGAAAGACTCGTGGAACGGTGCGCGAACGGAGACGACGTGCGCTCAGCAGGCCACCATGGCGGTGAATCCGCGTGATATGGACGGTTTTATGCCGCTCCTGTCAACGACGGATATCAAGAAGAAATTGACCGTTGGCTGTTTGTTGTACAATTACTTGAGCGACCCGACCAAGAGCATCGAATGTCAAGACATCGGACAGTTCATCGACAACATCATACCATGGCTGAGCAACGGCAATCCCAAGGTATGCTGCTTAAATATACCTACCGAATCATTCGAAACGTATCCACGAATTAACACGTCCAACCCGCTCGGGCTCTCGAACGTTCCCGTTCGACTGATTCACCCGATTGAAGGCACCGTCCCATTTTCACGTCGCCTTTGTATCCCGAGATAAAAGAGGAAACCACACCGAGATAATACTTCCTGTCAAAAAAATCTTTGATTTTTCGTACTTTTTCAGGGCCTCAATTGACTCGGTGTGTATATTAGTACCTCACAGTTACCGTCTACTATGTAAACAAGACCGTGAAAACCCGCCCACTGTCGTTTTCTATTTATCAATGTTTAATAGACACATTGTAGCAATCGGTAAATATTCACAGTGAGTCAATTGTTTAGTAACACGTATTAGGGAATGCGTGCTCGTTCGAACGGTTCACGATAAAACGATTAAAGAATCGGCAGAAATGGTGGTGGGGTGTGCCGGGTGACAAACTGGCTAGATTGTGTGCGTGCGAGCAGGGGTGCTCATTCCCACGAATTTCACGAGCGTGAAAAGCGTTGATACACGGGTGACCGATGCATTTAATTATAGAATTGATTTTAATAAGTACACGGTAATGCAGCCGGCGACGTATGGCCGACACTTTACGGTCGTATGGGATTCCCTTGGCTCGAGAAACAGTATTTGTGTACATTTTATTTTGGTCGACCTATATATCACCGTGCATTCGAAACTTTCTATGTTCGATACGATTGCGAGACGGCGACGTGACCGATTTGTAAATCAAATTCGGCTTTCCATCCTCGGCGTGTCCAAGGAAATTACGGGGAAAATAAAGAGACGAACACCGAATTTACCACGCGGGAAACAGGTGCGACAGGGCACGCTTTAGGTAAAGGATCTTGCGAAAGATTCGTCCGCGCGACCTTTCGATTGCTCAATCCGCCGTGGGGAGATCGAGCGATCCGATCCACTGGCGTTATCACTCTTAGGTTAGCTTGACCCTTAGAAAGGTTAGGAAATCAGGGTAACGAGCGATTTGATAACAGAAACGACCATCGGAAATAATTGCTCGGATTATTATTCAGGTTATGAGTAATATATCCAAAGAAACATGGTGCAGTTCAAAATAAGAAAGTTTAGGAACACGAATTAAACGCATGACTCGACGTAAGCGAAGGAACGCGTTCCTCCGTGGGAAATGTTGATTACATACCCAAGAACAATATTTATAACTACTTTCACCGAAAAGCGAGCACTATACTTCATTAATCAACATTATACGTTGCACGACATTGCATCATCGAAAATGATATTCCTCCACGACTATTTCTCTTAAATAATATTTTAACAGCCATTTTCAATTCCGTTAAACCTACGCATACGAATTTGAATTCTTACCGACACAATTTCAATATTTCATTCGCACGATGCAGTTTTTATCTTGATACACCTCTCGACGGGATACAAGCGGTTCTCAACCGAACAGGACTTTGCGTTCTCCCATTGCTATTCGTAAAAAGTTATTCTGTTTAAGTACTACGTAATCCAGTGAAAGGAATGGATTATCGAATTGCGATCCGTTGCATCGCACTCGGAAGTGGCGGTTTTTCGTTTGAGCTAGCCCGAAAATCAATATCACGTCCTTAGTTTTAATAACGTCGGTCGCGTGACGAGTCCCACTGCCGGTTTCCTCGCAATTACGGGAATCGCCGGCCGGGCCGGCGGCCGCCGCCATGTAAACGATTATTTACAACGAATTCGCCGGTTGTCCGGCGTGCACCGCGGACACCGCCGCCGGTTTTACCAGAACCGCCATTAAGGGAGGAACTTTCACGCCATGTACGTAGCGTGTGTCCTTTGGCGCAGTATGTCACGCCGTACTGTGTCGCGGAAAGATTTCGTGCTTAGCTGGAGCCATTAAGATCGAGTTAAACGCTCGCCGATTACGGCCGCAGAAACGTTCCGCGATGATACCTGAAACTTGAACGTGCACCGAAAACACAGGTGGCCGACGCCATGATTAATTAGAGCGGCCGACTCGAACGGTAACATTTGTCAACTTATCCGGCAGTAATAAGGTTTGTTGTATAGATTGGCAAATATAAAGTAGACGCGTGACACATAATAGAGTGCAGATGATTTTGTATATTATATACTGCCATTTTGTTTTTTGTATGACACTCGATAAATGCTACGAAAATCTTGACCATTAGTTGTCCTTTTTAGCAATGAAAAGTAGCAATTATTCACTATTTGGCGTTACAATCTTTGCGTTACACTATTGTTAACTTAGTTACGTTATTAAACATTTTGATTCGACATGGATTATTTTATGATTGTTTTCAAGCAGTTCAGAAGCGTCAGTCATCGGTGACTGACATGGTGTTTAACGTGTTGAGGTAAATGTTGATCGGTAGATGATTCGAGGATTTTTATTAGCTTTAGGAAGATTTAACCCTTTGCACTCGGAAGTATTTCGTTGGAAATACTTAACATTTTCTAATTAGGCGAAGATGATAGTTTTTGAAATTATCTCAAAGTGAAATCACAAGTAAATTGAGAAATAAGCCTCTTTGTCTCGGTATTTCACGCATCGATGAATTATGCACGGTTCAATGTTAAATATCAAATTTTATAATTTTACTGCATCAAATCAAGTGGTGACTGAGTCACCTCTCGAGTGCAAACGGTTAACTTTGAACTTTAGTACAAGATTACTCGATTGAATTGTTATTTGAATAGTAAATTGCAATTGTTGGTCGTATTGTTTATACGAAAAGCAAGGATCGTGGAACGGTTTTTATATATTTTCACGTATATTTCAGATTTCCTTATTAATTAGCATGTCACTAGCGCGAGTATGCGAATGAATAGCTAGGATCTCGACTAACAGGAAGAACTATAACGTGTCTGAAGATAAGTCCAGGCCAAGAACTGTTGCCAAAACGTGCATCACGGATAATGATAACAGGACTTTTCCTATTATCTTTCATTCCGGATTTGATGCGGCCGCGCGACGCCAATTGGCCAGGAAATTCAATTCCATTCGCGTCTCCAGTGCAATTGCCTTCGTGCCTGTTCCAAAGCGTGCAGATATTCAGGAGAAAGTTATGGAAGAAAATTTCGTGACTTTCCTGTGGAGCGGGCGTTGGAAACGGACACTCCACAATGGTACCAGAGATTTCGCAATGGAACTGAAAACTTAACACCGAAGTCTCTTCGATGCTACCTAAAGCTATATAACAATGGTAAAAAACTTTCAATCGATCCTCGATACTCTAAAACGGCACCTAAAGCTGTAACAATGAAGATCTCAGTATATTAACATTTTCTACTTCTAGTCAAAGTTCGATGATATCGAACACTTCACAGTGGTACCAAGGACCTTCCAAAGTCGCCAAAGATTCGATAACGGTACCACAGTCTTTCCAATGATCCCGTGCACTTGGTAATGAGACTGGAGACTCCGTAATGGTACTAAAGAGAACAGGGTCGACCTCAAGCTGTTAGTAACGAGCTCGTACCAATTTTGTTAATGGAAATGGGCCCACGCTGACGTCAGAGCACGCGAGCGTCGAAAAATCGTCACCCGGCGAAATTTCGCCGGTCAATAAGCTTACGTCACCCTCGTCGCTTCGCATGCGAAACACAGAAAAGTCTCTGTCGCCCTCCATCGCGATAACCTGGCCGGCCGGCCGGTCGGTCGGTCGGCCGGCCTAAACTTCGCCGGGCCGTAATTTAGTTTCTTCCATAATACATGAACCGCGTGCAAGCGTCGTCGTCCCCCTCGTAGGTACACTGCACCGTGCACTTTTCGCCGGAGCCTAGTGCACAGGAACGCAACACTAAACAGACGTATTTATATCGTACGGTCGCCCGTTCACTCCTATATTTAGCGTGGCTTTTTATTGTTGTTGTTCGCGTTGCACCGTTTCTGCCGAGTGACCGGCAACTAGGGATCGGATCAAGTTCAGATCAAGCGGAAAGGCTGTTCAGAAACTTCTCGAAGCGCACGCTGAACAGAAGATTCGGTTTCATTCTTGATTCGCCTCGGATCGTTGTCCACTTATTAACAACATTACACGTTCGAACTGTTTGAAAACATTGAAGGAAACTTTGAGTTTAAACTCAAATAGATCAGCGTAGATATTTCGCTCCGGATTAGCGTTATTCGCTGATACAAACTGGACGTTTCTAGAGCGACTGTTTAGCTATGGATTCGAAGGACGAGCAATTCAGTGGGATATTCTTGAGACAATAGGAGGTACAATTTGCAACTGCTGTTCCCAGCACTTTTGAAGCTCGATTCTTTGAAGTAGTTGCTGCAACCGGATAATACCAGCAGACGGGGACCTCCTTCGAGCCTCTCCCAGAGTCGGATAACTCGCGGTATTGTTTAATGAATCCTCGCCCGGGGTTCCTGGTCCAGACAGCGGTAACCGGACGCATTAGCATTTGAAGAGAACAGCATGCGCTACTCGCG